AGGCCTCCTTCTGGGCCAGACTCAGAGCAAACAGGCCCTCGGCCATTTTATGTGTCCATTTATTGCCCTAAATGGGGAGGGGCTTCCTGCCCGGGGCCTTAAAGGGACAGCAGGAAGGCCGCGGGGGCCCAGTGGGAAGTGTGGCGGTGGGGATGGGGGCAGCGATGAGGAGGCCAGGGGGATCCCATCTGACGCCCAACTCAGGGGTGGGACCGAGGCCCACCCGGTTCCCACACTCTGAGTGCTGTCGTGGGCCAAGACGCCTAGCCTGGAGCCTGAGCCTGATTCTAGGTTCTAGGAGGAAGCTTCACGGCAGCAGTGGAGGGGCTGAGCTTCCCGTCACCGGGGGCAAGCAAGGCCTGACTCTCAGACGCCCATCCTTGTCCACCTTACTGTCAGCCCAGGCTGCACCTGCTTAGCCGAGATGCCTGTGAGAGGCCGGGGTGACCTCTCTCCCTCCCCTGAGGGAGGCCTGCGTGTCACCTGGACATGCCCGCACCACCCCCACCCTTGCCTGAGCAGGTGGAAGGCTAGGCTGGGGAGCCCAGTGGCCTGCAGAACACAGCCAGATCCTTCTCTCAGGTATCCTGATAGGTGGGATGGGCCTTGTTTTCCAGTCAAACCAGAAAGGCGTGGGTGGCGACACTTCCACCCAGGCCGTCCACAGCCTGCTGGGGGGACAGATGGAGGGGCTGGTCCTTTGGCCACGCTCCTCCCAAGCGCCGGATTCTCCAAGGGGCGCCTTCTGCGCTTCGGGGCTCTGGACTCGGCGCTCGGGGAGGCTGGGCCTCGATAATCGCTCTAGAGACCCACAGTACCCGCGGGCCCCCACAGTGCTGGAAGGCAGGATCTGTGTCCATGCCCCATTTTGCAGAATGGGAACAGGATCAGAGAGGGGGAGCGGCTTGGCCGGGGTCACACAGCAGAACTGGAATTTGAGCCCGGGCCGTCCGTCTGGCTCCAGCCTGCCTAACTAGTCCTCCCACGGCTCCTTCCATCCCCCTTCCTGGCCCCCGGATACCAGCAGGAGGTGAAATCCCCCTACCCTGGGGCTGAGGAGCTGAGAGGACGCTTATTCTCATACCCTCAGCGCTGCGTTGCAGGGCGCCCGGGGCAGGGCTGGAGTCTAGCTGACACAGGTGACCTCAGAGAGGGGTCCCCTGGCCCTGGAGTCCTCAGGACAGCCCCCCAAGGGCCCAACACGGTACACAGCAGTCACTCAACAAACGTTCCCAAGGACCCACTGAGCAAACCCTGGGGACAACACGCTAGGGCTGACGATCCTCTCCCCACTGTCTGGATGGGAAGACTGAGGCTGGCCGAGAGGGAGTAACTGCCCGGGGTGGGCCCAAGGCCTGGGCTGGGATTCCACTGCACTCACCTCCACCAAAGCTTGTTCCTCTGGTCCCTGTTGCCCAGGGCTACTGCAGGGTGGGTTGTGGTCTGGCAGGTGAAGGCTGGGGAGCAGGTCTCTCACGCAGCTCTGACCCACACCCCACACTCTGGTCCCTGCCATGCCCTGAGCTGACCCGGGAGCTCCCACCATGGAGAAGACAGCATGGGTGGCTTTGCAGGCACCAGCTGGGGGACCCTCAGCGCCTCACGCACACAGCACGCCCAGGCTGCAGGGGTCAAGGGGCTCGTCCAAGGTTGCAGAGCAAGCAGGCCGGCATTCCAACCCCCAGGAGCCCTCCTTACAGCATCTGGGCTGCAGAGGGTCGGCTCTGGTGAGGTGACCTCCAGCTCCTCTGGTCGTAAAACCCAGAGCCCTGCCCGCCTCTGAGGGCCAAGGTGAGACGGGATGGTGGCTGGGCAGTCGGCGCACTGGAGAGGGGCGTCATATACACGTGCACCAGCAAGGGCCTGCCCGGTGAGGCTGGGAGGTGAGAGGGCTGTGCCTTGTGCTGTGTGACCTTGGGAGCCATGCTGGCCCTCTCTGGGCCTCAATGTCATCTTCGGACACAGGGTTTTAATAAGCCTCGGTGACGCTCCATTTGCAGGCAGGTGCCTGCAGTTGAGCCTTTACTGCCAACCTCCAGCCCTGCTCAAAGACAGGTGGCCAGGCACCCCTTGGCCACCACACAGGGGGGACTTTGGGCAGGCTGGGAGCTAGAAGGATGGACCACAGGGGACAGCTCTGCCTCCACCTGAGTGACCTTGGGCAGCTCTCTGCTTCTCCCCACGCCTCAGTCTCCCCTGCCCAGCACCTGCTCTGAGGCTTGCTCTAACCCCCAGTTTCCAAGCTCACATTCTGCCTCCCTCCCAGCCTCAGTTTCCCCCCTCATATGGCAACGGGGATCTGCCACCAGGTGGACCCAGCTATAGGTCAGAGGGACTCAAGGAAAGAAAAGAAAAAAAAAACAATAACAAAAACCCCAGCAGGGGACTTGTGATCGCCCCAAGAACCTTCCCGACCAGGCCCAGGCTGGGCTCTGCCTTGGCCCTTGCCAGGCGTCCGTCTCCTGCACAGAGCAAAGGACCCATCGCCTCCCTGCCGCCACCCGCGGGGCTCTGCCGAAGCGTGGCTGCCCGCCCGGGCCCGGGTGCTGACTGGTCGCCACGCAGCCAATCGGAACTGAATAATAAATACCCCCGGACTGACCCACGAATTAAAATTTCAGTGTCCCGGTTGGCTCTTCTTTCCTTCCTTAGACTTCGCTTTTCCAGCGGCCGGCTCCTGCCCCCCCTTCTCCCCCAGGCTCTGTCTCCACAGCAATGGCTGGTGGTAAACAGAGGCCCCAGCCCTGCTGATAGGTGCTCTTGGGGGTGGCCCTCGGGGACAAACGCCCCCGGCCTGAAGCCCTCAGGCCCCGGCAGCAGCAGGGCCGGGCCTCGGCCTGGCCTCCCGGGGACCTCTCCCAGACCAGCTTGCCAATAGGAAGTGATCGCCGGTCGTGGGGGGGCACCCCCAGTGTGGGAGCGGCACGGTCAGGGTTACGCCCTGGTCCAGTTCTAGGGTTGGGGGGGGCTGACACGGAATCCCGACGCCCTCTCTGGAGGCAGCTGGCCCGGAGGTTGGGGGGGGCCCACTGAGCCCGCCACCCATGGGTGAGCCAGGTGGGCGCCGCTGGTGGCAGGGGCACCAGCACCTCTGTAACTTCCGCCGGCTGGCTAGTGGGGAGAGGAGTTGCTGCCTCCCCCCTCCTCGCCGCCAACTCCTGGCTGCATTCCGCCAACATTTAGTGGGCGCCGACTGGGTGCCCGGGCCCGGGTGGACAGCACCCTCCCGCCACGGCCCACTGTGCGCCCCCACCAGCCAGCCGGGGCAGCACCTCCCAGAACCCGCAGAGGCCCGGGCCCTGGGAGGGCACCCGCTCCTCCGCTCGGCTCAGCCCCCGGCCAGGCTCCCAGGCCCCGGGCTAGGGCGAAGGGCGGGCTGGGTCTCCGGCCTCGGAGGTAGGGAGAGGGAGGGAGGGGGCCGGATCCCACCAGCTCCCCCCTCCTCTGCCCGGGCTCAGGCTTCGCACGTGGTGGTGGCGTCAAGGGGAAGGAGGGGGGGTCCGGGCCAGAGGAGACGGGGTCACGCGCATTGGGGGCGCGAGCGGCGGGGACTGAGGTGCCCTCTCCGCCCCCTCCCGCGGGTCGGAGCCGGACGGCCGCCAGGGCAGGGCGAGGGGCCAGGCCGGGCCCCCCACCCGGGGCTGAGTCAGGCCCAAGCGGGGGCAGGAAGCGGCCCCCTCCCCCGCCCCGGCCGCAGCGCGCGGCCCCCGCCCGGCCCGCGGGCCCCCGCCATGTCGCCCGCGCGGGGGGCTCCTACCTCCTTCCCGGGGCAGCGGCGAGGGGGCCCGGCCCCGGCGGCGGCGGTGGCGGCGGCTGCGGCTGGGCTGGCTCCCTCCGAGGGGCCGGGAGGCGGCAGTGAGCCTGGCCCCGCGCCACCCCCCGCCGCCGGCGGCCAATCCCCACCCGGGCTGGGGGGAGGGCGATGCAAATTACCCCGGATCTGGGTCCGCCCGCCCGCCTCCCCCACGCCCGGGCCCGGCCTGCGCTAGGCCGCGCATCCCCGGGCTCGCCTGCACCGCGCGGCCGCCCGGGCCGCTGCCCTCCCCGGGGAGCGCGGGGAGGGTGACCCCCCCCCCGGGCGAGGGGCCGAGGGGAGGGGGGCTGGGGACGGTTACACAACCAGGCGGGGAGGGACCCCGGGGCGGGGAGGGGGCCGGCCCGCGGGCCGCGCAGCCGGAAGCCGGGACCGCCACCGGCCCCTGGCGAGGGGAGCCCGGCTCCAGGCCCCGCCCCCAGGCCGGCTGGCCCCGCCCCCGCTCCGCGCCGCGCGATCGGCCCGCGCCCATTGGCTCTCCGGTCCGCCGCTCACCGCCCCTCCTCCGCACCGCCCCTACCCGCGGGCCGCGGCGGGCTGTCGGCGCGAGGCACCCTGGGACTTGTAGTCCAATCCGCCTGCCACCTGCCGGCCGCAAAAGGCGAGAGGACTACGACGCCCAGAGGTCCCCGCGGCCCCCCCGCCCACCCGGACACCCCACCCCTTCCCCTCCTTTGCAAAGCCCCCTCCCTGTTTTTCAGCCCCCTCCCCCCCATCCCCCATGGAGCTCAATCCTGGCCAACTCCAACGTATGCACGCAGCACCGAACAGGCCCCCGGGGGGCGAGGGCGCCCCTCGTCTTCAGCTGCAAACTTAGCAGGCGACGCGCCCCCCTATCTCCCCTCGCCGGCTCCCCCCATCCTCAATGCAGCCCTGCTTCCCCTCCCCCACTCCCCGCGCGCCTGGGAGCCCCGAAAAGCCATGCACCCGGGTTGGGGGGGCTGGCGCACAAGCCCATGCACTTCGCCCCCAATATCCCCTACCGGGCGGCGCCCCCTCCCGCGCTCGGGATTCAGGGCGCCTCCAGCCTCCGGGCAGCTGCCAACCACCCCCTCCTCCGAAACTTGGGGGAACGTCCCCGGCTCCCCGGATCTCCCCTTCCCAAGGGGGCAGCGGTGGGCGCAGCGCCCCCCGCCCGTCCCCGCCCTGCGCCCCGTGCCGGGGGCCGCGCCAGGCGCTGACTTACCTCGCGGGGCCGGGCCGGGCCGGGGCGCGCGGGGCCGGGGCCGGGAGTTGGGACTGGGCTCCCTCGGCCGCTCGCCTCCGGGGTCCGCGGCGCTCGCTCTGCCCGCGTCGCGCTGCCCTGGTCGCTTCCTCGCGCGGCGGCGGCGGCGTCACTGCCCCTACAGTAACTGTACAGTACAGCCAAAGCCCCGTATGATGCTCGCGACTCCCTTCCTGGTTTCTCCGAGGGCAAGAGGGGTCCTCCCTTGTCTTAAAGGTGCCGCAGCCGCCGGCCCCCCCACGCCCAGCCCGCCCCCCCCAGCCCGGCCTCGGAGGCCAGAACAGGCTCGGCAGGTCCCCTCTTGCCACGTCTCTGCCCTCCCGTGGGGCTTCGCCCGCTGCGCAGGGGAGACCGGGCTGTTATTAGGTTTTGTCAAGTGGGGGGGGGTCCGGCCCGCCCCGGCGCGCCCCCCCGCCTCTGACCTCTCCGCCCCGCCGCGCGGCGCCGTGCCAGCTTGCCAGCTTATCTGGCCCCAGAGCTCCCCGGGGCGCGGGGGGAGCGGGCCCCCCGGGGCGGAGGGGGGTGGGGGCCTCCAGATAAACAGGCCCCCAGCCTCTGCGCAGGGGCGGGGTGCGGGGGGGCGCGGGCTGTGCCCCCGACGCCCGGGGCGTGGCAGGATGGCAGCGGGGGCGGGGAGCGCGGTGCGCACGGCGAGGAGCGACGCGGGCGTGGGTCGCGCGGCCGGGGCTGCCGGGGATGGTTGGGGGGGGCGAGGCGGTGGGGACCCCCCAGGCCAGGCGCCGGGCCTCAGTGGGCCCCGCCGCGCGCGAGGACCCGGGGGGTGGCCTCGCCAAGGATGGCCCGGGTCCGCGGGGCTCCCGGGTCCCTAAATGAAACCACCAACCTGCCCGCCCGCGATTATATAAAGGAGTCGCCTCCACCCCGCTGCGCTAGGGGCGTCAGCGGGGGAAGGGGTTGGCGAGGGGCGGGGAGGGCGGTTGTTTTCCCGGCTCCGCGAGTTCCCCGACCCGGCTGCGGGCCGCGGGGCGGGACGGGGCCCGGGGCCCGGACGCCTGGGTCCTCGCGGGCCTCTCCTTTGCACCAGGGGGTCGGCGTGGCTCGCGAGGCGCGGACGTGAGGAGTGGGGAGGCGTTGGCTCAGTGCGACTTTTTTTTTTTTTTCCCCTGTCCGTTTCTCCCACTTCCTCCCCGGTCGTGGGAGAGGTCCGGCGGGGACGGGGAAGGGGGAGGAGGGCATGAGCGTTGAGAACGTCCTGGCCTGGCCGGGGGACGGCTGGCTGGTGCGATCGGCCGCCTGGGAGGCTCTGGGACTCAGTTTCCCCCTCCTCATTCCTCCGCACGGAGAGTGCTGACAGCCGCTTGAGCTGCCGTTTCGTGAGCGCTCATCCAGTGGGTGACCCTGTCCCGGGTCTCGGTGCGCCTTCATTCTAACACCTAATCCCAGGGACGTGATTATTTCTTCTTATTATTATCTGTCATTCTTATTACCAACACCACCTGACAGCGGGAACTATCACCGGCCCGAGTCAAGTGTACCCAGCCTGCCCTCTGACTTCAAAGCTCGTGTATGGCCTCTTCGCACAATTTTCTTAAAAGCGCCGTTCAACACCCAAACGGGTTGAATTGGCTTTTGTAATAATAATTTGGCTTCAAGGGGAAACCCTGGAGGACCCCCGCCCCCGGAGGGGAAGTGAACTGTCTCAGGACTTGAAGCCTGAAACCAGCCGAGGAGGTGGGAAGGCACCCAGGGAGGGGCCGCGTGCATCTAGGGTGACGGTGTCACCCAGGGACTTTGCTCCGAGGACCCTGCCTTGGATAGAAGCCCTTCTTCCTTCAACCAGCAGCCATCAGCGTCGGGACTAGGAGGCCAAACTGAAGCAGGATTCTTCTTAGATCCGATGCCCAGGCCTTTTTTTTTTTTTTTTTTTTTTTTTGACGCGGAGTTTCGTTCTTGTTGCCCAGGCTGCAGTGCAATGGCGCGATCTCGGCTCACCGCAACCTCCGCCTCCTGGGTTCAAGCTATTCTCCTGCCTCAGCCTTCCCAGTAGTTGGGATTACAGGCATGCGCCACCACACCCTGATAATTTTGTATTTTTTAGTAGAGACAGGGTTTCTCCATGTTGGTCAGGCTGGTCTTGAAGTCCCAACCTCAGGCGATCCGACCAACTTGGCCTCCCAATGTGCTGGAATTGCAGGCGTGACCCACCGCGCCTGGCCTTTTTTTTTTTTTTTTTTTTTTTAATAAAGATTTGGGAGGAGGTCGGGGTTCCTGCTATGTTTCCCAGGCTGGTCTCAAACTCCTGGGCTCCGGTGATCTTCCTGCCTGAGCCTCCCACAGTGCTGAGATGACGGGCATGAACCATCGTGCTGGCCAGACACCTAGGCTCTAAATTCTACGTGGTCTAACCTCCCCCACACCGGAAGCAGTGTGTGACTCAGTTTCCCTTTCTGTACCACCAGCCTCAGATCTGATCCTGCAGGAAAAGGAGAAAGCCCCACACGGATTCTCCTTGGTGAGCACCTGACTCAGACGGGACAGGGGCTTCTCTGTAAGAAGGGCATTGACCCTAATCCTCATCTCAGCCCTGAGGAAAAGCAGAGACCACGATTTCCATCATACAGTTGGGGAAACTGAGGCCCAGAGATGGAGAAAGAGCAAGGATGTTAAATCCAGCATTCACATGTCTCTGGACACTGAGGGGACCCAAGGGAGGTCCTTCAGGAAAAGCCAGGATGTGGCATACCCCAAACCACGCCCCCCACCCCTGTCATGAAAACAGAAGGAAGGGGCCCAAAGCTTCCTCCAGACCTCTGCCCTTCACTTCCTTCTTCCTTCCCCCCAACAACAACAACAAAAAATCGAGTTGATACTATTTCAAAACCTAATAAAGTATAAAAGATTGGGTTCCTGTGTGATCTCGGGCAGGTGGCTTAACCTCTCTGATCCTCAGAGTCCTTTGAAGAATCGATGCCACTTCCTAGGGTTATCACAAGGGACAACTGAGGCTGTGTATGTAATTCTGAGACAGCACAACCCCTGCACCAGGAAGGGCTTCAATACATGAGACGTGTGACCATATTATTAATGTTTGGGTCACACCTGTTATTTTGGTCTCTGTGTAGCCAGGGTTTTTTTTTGTTTTGTTTGTTTGTTTTTGAGATGGAGTCTCGCTCTTGTTGCTCAGGCTGGAGTGCACTGGTGCGATCTCGGCTCACTGCAACCTCCACCTCCCGGGTTCAAGCCATTCTGCCTCAGCCTCCCAAGTGGCTGGGATTACGGGCATGTGCCACCACGCCCGGCTAATTTTGTATTTTTAGAAGAAACGGGGTTAATCCACGTTATTCAGGCTGGTCTCAAACTCCCAACCTCAGGTGATCCACCTGCCTCAGCTTTCCAAAGTGTTGAGATTACAGGCATGAGCACCGCGTCCGTCTGTGCTGTCCAATCTCATTTATTCACTGGACAAACATGGACCTTGTGCTTCCATGGGCCAGGTCCCTGCTCTCCAGCTCATAGGCTAGAGGAAGCTAAAGACAGCAAGATAGAAGACAAATGAGCCGGGCGCGGTGGCTCAAGCCTGTAATCCCAGCACTTTGGGAGGCCGAGGCGGGTGGATCACGAGGTCAAGAGATCGAGACCATCCTGGTCAACATGGTGAAACCCCGTCTCTACTAAAAATACAAAAAATTAGCTGGGCATGGTGGCGCGTGCCTGTAATCCCAGCTACTCAGGAGGCTGAGGCAGGAGAATTGCCTGAACCCAGGAGGCGGAGGTTGCGGTGAGCCGAGATCGCGCCATTGCACTCCAGCCTGGGTAACATGAGTGAAACTCCGTCTCCAAAAAAAAAAAAGATAGAAGACAAATGAATACGAGAATTCCAGACACCATGAATGCAGTGAGAAAGCAAGCCATAGGAATGGAAACACAAGGGCCAGATCCTGGGGAACTGTGTGTGTGTTTTTTTGTTGTTGTTGTTGTTTTTTTTGAGATAGAGTTTGCTCTTGTCGCCCAGGCTGGAGTGCAGTGGCACGATCTCAGCTCCCTGAAACCTCCACCTCCTGGGTTCAAGCGATCCTCCTGCCTCAGCCTCCCGAGTAGCTGGGATTAAGGCGTCCGCCACCACGCCCAGCTAATTTTTGTAACTTTACTTTTGTATTTTTTATTTTTATTTTATATTTTCGTGATGCCAGGGAGGAAATTTTTGTATTTTTAATAGAGAAGGGTTTCACCGTGTTGGCCAGGCTGGTCTCGAACTCCTGACTTCATGATCCATCTGCCTCGGCCTCCCAAAGTGCTGGGATTACAAGCGTGAGCCACCTTGCCTGGCCTGTTTCTTTCTTTCTTTTTTATTTTTTTGTATAATTAGGGACCAAGCACAGTAGTGCATGTCTATAGTTCCAGCTATGTGGGAGGCTGAGGCAGGAGGATCACTTGAGCCCAGAAACTGGTGGCTGCAGTGAGCTATGATTATGCCTGTGAGTATCCTCTGCTGCACTCCAGCCTGGGCAACAGAGCAAGATTCCATCTCTAAAATTTAAAATAATAATAAGAGGTCAGGCGCGGTGGCTCGGGCCTGTAATCCCAGCACTTCGGGAGGCCAAGGCAGGTGGATCATCTGAGGTCAGCAGTTCGAGATCAGCCTGACCAACATGGCGAAACCCCATCTCTACCAAAAAATACAAAATTAGCCTGGCGTGGTGACGCATGCCTGTAATCCCAGTTACTTGGGAGGCTGAGGCAGGAGAATCACTTGAACCAGAAAGGCGGAGGCTGCAGTGAGCCAAGGTTGCCCCACTGCACTGCAGCCTGGCAACAGAGCTAGACTCCGTCTCAAAAAAAAAAAAAATTAATGGTAATGTTAATAATTGGGCCAGGTGCGGTGGCTCACACCTGTAATCCCAGCACCTTGGGAGGCCGAGGCGGGTGGATCACGAGGTCAAGAGATCGAGACCATCCTGGTCAACATGGTGAAACCCCGTCTCTACTAAAAATACAAAAAATCAGCTGGGCATGGTGGTGCGTCCCTGTAATCCCAGCTACTCAGGAGGCTGAGGCAGGAGAATTGCCTG